TCACTCGTTCATCCACTTTTATTGATCCAGTCTTCCATGACTCTGAGCGCAGTTGCTTCGCTCTCCGTCCCCCACTCTTATTACTCATCTCTATCCTTATCCTTATCTTATTCTTCTTCTCTTTTTTCAAATCTGAAGTCATCTCTTCTGATCTAGTTGTGTGTGTGTGTGTTTCTTTTTGGGTGTACTACCACTTGATCTCTTCTTTTCTCTCTCTCTCTCTCTCTCTAGGCCATCCCTCTCCTTGACTACAATCGCCTAATCATCCACTCTCTCTCTGCCCCTCTTTTCTTTCCTCTTCCTCTCTTTCTTTGGTCTTCCACCTTTTCGTTCACAGTCTTTCTTTCTCTCTTTCTTTTTATCGCGCTGTTTATCGTACTCTCCAGGCCGAGAAAACCCATTCACGTGTCCCTCTTCTCCTCCGTTTTTGTTTATTTGTCACTAGAGTATACATATATTCACTTTTTCGTTTTCTGGGTTAATTGTCCGTCAGATCATCCAGCGGGCTTCCCTTCGAGCGTTCCTTTTGGTTGTGCGGTGCTCTATCTTGGCACGTTGCTGTTCCTGTACTACGTACCTCTCTCACTTTTGAACTTGTCACGTTTGGTTTTTGGTTTGCTCTTTATTCGATTATAATCTTGAATTCGATCACCACTATCTTTCTTCAGTTCCAGTATCCAGTATTCAGTTCTCTCTCTCTTTTTTTCTTCGGTTTCTTTTTGTTTTTTCTTCTAAAATATCATTACTTATATACGATATACATATATCTTTTAGAACTGTTAAATAATGGTCTCCAACTGTTTTTTTTCTTTTTTTTTAAAGAAGAAGAAGAAGAAAGCCAAAAAAACTCATGTATGAATAACTTTAGACATTGTAATATGTAATTGATTTTCTTTTTTTTTGATTTTGATTTTGATTTTTTTTTTCTGAAGTACTTGATGAAAGGGGGTTTTGTATTGGTGGTCTTGAGGAATGGAACGAGCCATGGATGGTATGTATTCGGGCCCCATCCAATGCGAGCACAGCTACCTCAAGACAGACCTCATGGAGGCCGTCCCTGTCAATGAGTCGGAGGGAACCACCGCTTCCAAGAATTATGTATCACGACGAGAAACACTATTTTATCAAGACTTATGTTTTTTTTATGAAAGAAAAATGATCAGGATGTTCTATTACATATATGTCTAGAGTGTTTGTCAAAAAAAAAAATGCTGAGTTTTGGTGGATGGGGGTGCTTGTGATGTTATCCTTGTCATGGCTATACATAGCAAAGGAGGGTCAGGATGGTCTCCAAAGCAGGATAGAGAAATGGAATAAGGATGTATGTAAGTGATAAACGGAGGGAGAGAGTACAAGCGAGCAGATAACCTTCAATAACCGGAGACAAAAAAAAAGGTCAACCGGAGACGATATAGGGATGGGTCCGATTTTTTTTTTTTTTTTCATGTGCGATGAGTGGTGGACATAGTGAGGATCGACAACCCGGGCTCGTCCTCCTCGCTGACAGAGTCGCTCGGCGCACTCGAGCTTTTCATCCGGCGGACCAGCCCGACCAGCTCTTCTACGGCTTGCCTGCTCACTTGGATGTGCACGATCAGTCGGGCCCCGCTGATCCGGATCTGGAGCTCCTCTAGCGCTCGCCGACTAAGCTCCTCAATCTCAATCCCTACAACAATCACACATATTTTACACACAAACCCCCAATCAGTAAATCTGTCACCATCAACCGATCCAATCGAAAGTGGGTTTTTCTTTCCTTTCTTTCTTTCGGTCCTTTATGCGGCTGGTTTTATATATATATATATATGAAAAAAAGAGAGAAAGAAGAGAGAGAGAAAACTAACCGATCGGAGACGGGTCGATGAACACATGGTTTGTCTCGACGGGAAACGCGATCCGGACGCCGAGCGCGACGAGCTGATCGGCGAGGTAACGAGCCAACCGATGAGTTTCAGCGAGCCGCGGGAAATTAGAAGTGACGCAGAAGTCGGCGGCGGCGACGATTGAGCCGCACTGAGAATAAGAATTGAGCGGAAGGGATCAACTGTCAGGATTGGAGTTTGGGGGAGGAGATTGAGAGAGAATGAGAAAACAAGGAGCTCAGCAGACCTGTCGGATTCCTCCTCCGAACATCTTGCGGAACCAGCGGACCTTCTTGATGAACTCGTGCGGGCCAACAAGCACGCTATTGAGTGATGAGAAAAACCCCGGGCCGGGCGAGCCGATAGCCGTTAGTCCGGCATCCACCCTCGACCTTGAGGGACGAGTGAGACGCAAAAAGATGACAACTGCTTACCTGCCGATCGGCGCGCCCAGGCCTTTGCTCAAACACAGACTGACCGAGTCGAAGGGTTCGCATAGCTCGGCAATCGAGTGGCCCGTCTGGGAGGCAAGATGTCAGAATACGAATCAGAGTCGCCTCGATCACAGGAAAAAAAAACATTTCGGCCGTGCCCTGCATGATCAAGAATCTGATCATCAAATCAAGGGCCGGATCATAAAACTCACCTTGGCTGACGCCTCCCAGATCCGGGCCCCATCGCAATGCGTAATCACCTCGTTCTCGTGACAAAAGTCCCGGATCCTTCGCATCTCTTCGAGCGGATGGACGAGGCCTCGGATGGTGTTCTCCAGACACACCAATTTGGTTGGCGCATAATGAATATCATCGCCTAAGAATCCAAGAAGGGATAGTTAGTATTTGGGATGGCTGAGAGAAACGGGTTGTGATGCTTTAATGGGAGATCGTTGGTTCGGAATGGGTATTGGAAAGAGCTCAAGCGACTAACCTAGGATGATCGATTCTTGGACGTCCTCCAGAGTGAGCGTGTGTTCATTCTTCGGCTTGACGGGGATCGTGGTGGCTTGGGAATGGAAGGCGATCCCGCCTGCCTCGTAGTTATGGATGTGGGCCCGGGAGTCACACAGGACTGAATGCTATAACAGAGAGATTGGGTTAGGGGAGGAGGCACAAAAGACTTTTTTTTTTTAAAAAAAAAAAAAAAAAGGCTCTAACAGGTGGTTGTGTTAGCCAGGTCCGGATGGCTAGTTGATTCGTCTACTCGAAAGAAACGCGTGCATCCGAACCCAATCAGAAAATCCGAGCCTTCACTGTTTTCTTGAACTGCGAAGAGTGAGTGGAAGCACAAGACACTGACCATCGTACCACTGACACAGAACGCGGCAGCCTCCTTTCCAGTCAATCGAGCGATTTTTTCCTGGAATCTATTCGTCATCGCATCTTCCTAAGGAAACGCAACCAAGAGAATACAAGCATTTTTGATTGCTTAGTCAACCCGTTTCCTGTGCTCGGCCTCTATATATGATGTGATGGCCTAGAAGCGTTTAATTTTGTAGTGTGAAGGTGAGAAGAGAGAGAGCGGAAACTCAACCCCATAGACATCGTCACCGATCGACGCGTTTTTCATGAACTCGAACATCTCCTCGGTCGGTGCGGTCATGGTATCACCTAAAAATGGGGCGGAGAGAAAGAACGAAGATCTCAGAGTGAGCAAGCTGGTTTGACGGAAAGGGACCGCGGGGATATTATTAGAAGCAATGGATCGATTTATGTACTTCTGAAGTCCCGGGAAATCAGTCTTCGTTTCTCCTCGTTCGATTCGGGCTCCCGGTAGCCGCCCGTCGGGAGGTTAAGCTGGACATAAGAATTGTTGGTCTTGAGAGGGTTCTTCTTCCCATTGGCTTGGCCATGATTCATTTGTCCGTTGGTGTTTTGGATGGTGAGATGGCTCGATAGGTCGTTTGCCATCTCCGAGGCAGTCTGTGTGCCGGCTTCACAATCGATTGCCATCACGCGTTCTCGTTCCTGGTTGCTCTTAAACGACTCTGGGCTTCGAGGGTCGAATTGCTAGATACGCGCCTTGTTGTAAGACTTGGTTGCTTTCTCAGATGGTCGGTTGTCTGAGGGCAGAAGCTGATCCCTGAAGTACGGATGTATCAATGGGATACCAACTGGATTGCAGAAGAAGTCAAAATCATTATCAGTGTGCCGGTATTCTTCTCAGTCGTCAAGCAGGTAAAAAGAAACAAAACAATGGAAAGGGGAGGCAGAAGCTCAGTGGGTATGGTGAGATGACCTTGACTGGAGATGGGACTGATGTTATGCTCGAAGCTGGAGAGGGTATGTATTATGTACACAAGTTAAAAAGCTCCGGCTGGTTGATGGAGAGGAGACCGAGCGCTTCCTCGGGCCCAAACGTCGGCTCGAGTCCAACTGGGAAAAGTGTGAGAGAACTCGAGATAAAGAATTGCACTGGAGATTTGCAATCAATTTCTGCCTCGACTTTGTTACGTTTAATATAAGAGTCGCGATGAGGATATGCTTCTTTGATAGAGAAATGCTTTGCTCCCCTCTCTCTCTATCTCCCCGGGAAGACCCAGAGTATCAATGGTTCAGGAAAGCCGCACTCCGGGGCGAGATGGATTTAAGTGAACAGGAGAAATAATGTAGAACTGACTATGGGGTGATATTCTTTGAGGGTATTAGAGTTTTTAATAGGCTATCATAAGTTCTAGTTCTATTTGTGAATTGTTTATTTTGCTTTATTAGTCTTTTGGTGTATTTTGATTGGCAGAGCCAGGTTCAAGGCTTATAAGTTATGAACTCGAGCGGCTTGGAAAGATGCCTGAGGAAGGGAAGTGTTCCTTGCTGATATAGATCAAGTCAGTGCCTTCGGGTTTCACCTGGAAGCGTCGATCTCCAAGACAAGGGATTTGGTGCAAAGGAATACTAGATGTGTAGGGAGTGCATTCCAGAACCAAACAAGACTCACATAAACACCAAAAGGCGATTTCTCAAGAGATCCCGATTTGAGTGGAGGACGATCAGGATCCGGCGGCTATTTTTTTGAGTGTCTCTGATCGGGATATGGCTGGGCGACAGGACTTCCGGGATTATTTCGAGCTGTGCTTGCAGGAAGATGATTGGAAGGTTTGTCTCTGATGGGAAAACTTGAGCCGAGCTTGATGATAATGGGGTGCCACGGTCTGGGGTACAGCCACTATAATATAAGGAGAGCTCTTTCTTTCTGCTAGCCGAGTCAGATTATATCGGTCGATGTTTGCTGATCAAGGAGGAATGAACTGGGAAAAGACGGGATGATGGAACAGTTGTCGATGGGCTATTATTGAAGCAGCCGATCCTGAAACCTGGCGATGAAAGGCCGGATATGGACAACTTGAGTTGGAGCAGAAGACCTGCTCTTCTTTATAAATCCGAATCAACCATTTTCAATCAGCAGTACTCCCGAAATCCGAACAAACATCATCCAGGAAATTTCAAATTAATCTAAAACAATCTACATAAAAAACTCATGCATATCTCCTATCAACAGCCATAAAACTGCCTTGCAATGAATACATATCGTCAGATCAAAGAGAAAAAAAAAAAGCGCATCTCGAGTGATCTCTCTCAACCAGTTCTCATTTTTTTTCACCTCTCTTTGACCGACAGCGATTTGTACCAAAAGAAATCTCTCAATGTGCATGCAATCCAGAAAGACGTTACTTAGGATTCCATAAATAGACCGGCGCTCACAGGCCATAATTAATGTCGAATAATAGAGAGAGCAAGATTGCAACCCCAAAAAACCAGGGACTGAGGAGTATTACTCCAACGTATTAGTTGCTTTAAGCTCTTGACAGCCCCATCAATGTTCCCTCAATTTATAAACCGTTCAAGGGGTGTAGCTGTTGGACTCCAGGGACCAGAATGTCAACTGTCCAGCTGCTGCAACGAATACATAAAGTCTTCAGGGACCAGAGAGATATCTCTCATATTTCCGCAGGAGTCGCAGTGTACGGAGATTGAGGAGGCCATATTGGAGGGCTACCATGTTGTGATTTCCTTTCGTCGCAGTTGCGCCTTGATGGTAAATATCTGGTCTGGTCTTTGGACCGACGACATTCCCCTGACTTCAGCATGGGTTCGAAAGGAGAGTTCGTCTAATACTATACCTACGAAAATGGCCCGATCAAAATTGTTCTACATGATGAGGCGAACATAGAGAGAGTAGGTTGGATGGATGGATGAGAAAATGGCTCGAATCAAATGCATCGCGCCTTCGGGCAAAGCATTCAAAGAACCAGCCGCACATTAACAAAGACCTGTCTGCTGGAAGATTTCCGTCATAAATGTTTTTTTGGCTGCCTAGTTCTCTTCTAGAATAAAACCCATGACTTGGTTTAATTATTTACCAAGACTCACAACTAATCGCATTCAAAGAAAAAAAAAAAACATCTGCTGAACAGTAGTACTAGTACCAGCGTCTCTGCTTCCACCAATCCTGGGGCGATTTGACCAGCCGAGCTGATGTGTACGTAAATTAAAGCTCTGTCCAGTGGAGATGAGATCGACTCCAAGCAAGGCTCGACCACCGGCCGACTCACGCTCCTTATTCAAGCTCCGAGAAGTTCTTGGTCTATGCAGTCGATCAGCCATCCACATTCTGTTGTCCTTCAAACAAAAAAGGAAGGAGTCCAAGTAACGTCAAGACAACATTGCGTGCACCAGCATAGGGGGGAAGACGATCATTCCTACTTGCGCCTCGCCCAAACACACCAATTACTATGTATGCAGATGTCGGATAGTGTTGCTTGCAGTTGCACCAATGAATGGTCCCGGGTATATGTAAGCTCCTTTGAGTCGCGCTACATACTCCTAGAAATATCCATCATCTCAATCTCCATGGGTTCCATCACTACCACAGTTGAGCCAGGGAGAAAACAGCTTATAACCATGTGACCATTTTATTGAAAAGCGGAACGTCTTGCCGGCGTGAGCAAGACATAGGCACTATGGCATTGGGACGTTAAGGATGTATTGGACAAACTGCTTGGATATTACATATTTACTAAGATTCAAACAAACTTGAAGTCTAAAAATCAGGACCAATCCTTCCCCGCGCTGACCAATCTCAGGAAAGGCTACGCGCTTTGTATGTGAGACCGTCGGATCAGAGACTATATACTATCGCAGTGAAACTTGATTCAGCATTTGATTATACAACAAGTAATGAGTTAAATATCGTAAGCAATGCTGTTTACAACAGATAAAAGCAGGCAAGATATAGACCAGCCAACATTCATCAACCCGCCAAACCGCTTGCTTGAATTAAGTTGTATCAGTATTGGCCAACAGGGATGTCTATTCGATCCTTCTTATCCCTGATATGGGTTTTGATTTCTGGTCTTTCAGCCACAGTCAAAGCGCCGCCACCTTTAAGCGAGCCCATCGAAGAAGGCGCGGTCAACTCGTTGCATGAGCATGAAGAAAATCCACCTAAAAGAGTTCGCTACGATTATTCAGGTAAAATTGGAATTTACATCATCCTTTAATGGATGTTTTCTGCTTCTTGAATGATACTCTTTTTGTTGATGACATCTCTCTTGACGTCCCACTCTTCCCTTTTTGAAACTATGAGGACGATTTTATAATTTGTAGATCTACCATTTCATCACTCTCTTAGCAACGATACTCCGCTATTCGAGTGGGATCCCCAAGACCCTTTACCGGTGACGTTAGGCAAGTTTAAAAGGAATTAACGAAATCACATGGACCTGGATCTATCATAATTTTTAACAAATTGCTCTTCTCTTTTACCTACTTAGACCATTATAGTTATAACGACGACCACGACTGGGATTCGACTATGCTTTTTGAAGAATTGCGGAATTTTGAAGCAATCCTCCCAAATTCACCGGTTGAAGCTGAGGCAAACAGTGGAGAAAGGGCAGTGATTAGCCAAGCTGGTGTGGTAGTTTATTCTTGATTCATTAATTGAATGTGTGACTAGATCTGCTTAAGTGCTCATTGGAATGAATTCATTTCTCACCAGTTCATCAATCTCAAGAAAATTTAGATTTGCATCAGGATACCCTAGGTCACATTCATATGAAGGACAATGGTGTGGTGTCAACAGGTATCCCGTCAAAGAATGATAACAGTGAAGCACCCACAGCTTCTAATGACCGGCTTCTGAAGGGGACAAGTGAAAGAGTGGTGAAACTCCTTCCAGACGATTTGATTGAAAAAGAGGTTTATTCAATTCCTAGTGTGGGCAGTTCAAAGAACTTTCCAAGGGAAAACATGGGTCAAAGGACCGGGAGCAGTGGAGCTGGTGCGGATGTTTTTTCTTTATTTATTTTTTCCTCATATAAGTGTGAAGTACTAGATCTGCTTAAATTCTCATTAGTATGAATCAATTGGTCAACAGATCATCAATCTCAAGAAAATTTAGATTCAAATCAGGATACTACAGGCCAAATTCTGTTGAAGAAAAGTTGTGTGGTACCAACAGGTAGCCCATTAAAGATTGGGAAGAGTGAAACACCCACAGCAACTTGCAAGGATCAGCTTCTGCAGGGCACTATGAAAAGTGCACATACACCTCTTTCAAATGATTCCATTGAAAAAGATTTTTATTCAAGTTCTATAGATTTGAATAACTCACTGCAATTTCTAAAATCTGATTTTTATTTGCCCATGGAACATGAAGAAGCTAGTAAGAGAAATCAGCACTCAGTGGGTTCACAATCAAACAAGCAAATAGTCCACAAAATGATGGAACATGAAAAATCCATGGATTCCAAATACTTTTTTGAGAACTTTCTCAAACATAAACCATCAAACATGGAGAAGATTGGAAATTTTAGCTCCTCCAAATTGCTTCCAACTCATAGGCCAGTTACACAGAAGATGAATTCAGGAAATCTATTGAATTCCAAAAGTAAAAAGACCAAAACTGTTGAAAAAGTTAAAAAACTCAAAAATCAAAACAGTGAATTGGAGATTTCTGTTCATGGTGAATTACCAATATTTTCAGATCCAAACCATTTGAATTTGGCATGTATTGAAAAAGTGGATTTTAGCTCAAGATACCTCAAGAGTAATGAAGATCCCATGGTTTACATCTCAAAATTTGAACAAAAGCTTAGATCTACTGGAATTCTTATGTTTTTAAGTAGTCAAAAAAATTCAGGAGAAAACATAATTTCTCTCAAGACTTGGTTATCACAGCTCAATAATTCATGGGAAAGTTCATCTATAGCCTTCACAAATTTAGTTGAAAGAAGTTTATACTTGATCGATCTCATCTCCTCTGACCTCAAATTCTTCCAAAGGAAACCTCTTCCAAGTCATGAAGAGTATTTTGGATGGCTCATCCACAAAATGTTTGATTCACCCAATGTGCTTGAAATCTTCATGAAATCAGACCATGAGAATGAGTCATTATCACCCATAGAACAAAGAGCCAGAAACTACATGCATTTGAAAAAAGAAGATCAAAATACTTGGAAGGAGTTGATGTATATGCTCGGAATATGGTACAAAAACAATCATCCACAATTGTGGAAAATCATGGTAGGAGAAGATGATCAAGTGTTTTGGTACTACATGAAATCTAGAATCATGAATGCTAAAAGAGCAAGAGATAATATTCAAAAAAAAAAAATCTGATCAACTCCTAATCAAGAAGAATTTGCATTGCATATGATTAATCTATAGGGGCCATTTCTAATCAAATCAAAAGTATAAATTAAACATCAGAACCATTATGAGTAACACATTTGCATGAAGAATATCAGACATCCTACGATGAGCAACTCAGATGAAAGAAGATAATCTTCTGCTTGATTTTGCTGATAAGAAGCTTTCCAACTGTATACAACTCATCCAGTGCATTGGATTTTAAAATTGATTAATTCTTATTTTGAACGGTGGAGAATACTTTCATACCTTTCTGTTTAATTGTTTTCTCTTTTTCTAGATTGATTCAACATTTGATCAGTTTATTAGGTTTCTTTGCTCACATTTCTGGGATTGATATGAAAAAAGAATGGTGTATAAGGTCTAATTTCAACTTTGAATTACTGTCCCTGCTGGATTTACAATTGATACCAGATTAAAATTTCCAAAATTGCTGTTGTGAATTGGGTGCTCAAATTCTTTCACAAGGAGGATCTTAGCTGGAACCCTGGGAGATGCTGTACCAGATTACTGGTGTTTAATTTCCACTTGGGATTTTTCATTATATAAGCTTAGTCGTAGTAAGAGCAAGAATCTTGAGAAGCCACACATGGGTTCCTGGATTTATACATTTTGTCTGTACAGACTTTCCAAGAAAGAGTATCCTTTTTCAAATCTCCCCCCTCTTGATCTGAATGTCAAGGCCTTAGTGCTCAGGGGGAAGGCTTGGCAACAGTGCGCTAGGTGAATATGTTGGATCTCTTCTCGAGCTCACACTCAGGTTGACAATTTCTGGTTTTTTGGCCCTCCCGCAACAATGGGCCAAACAGCTTGAAATGAAATACCCACTCAGATTTGGGTGAGGTGTGTCAAAATGCCCCTGGCATTCCCATATAACATAGCGCTGCCGAACCTCCTCCCCTCCTCCTCAAACTGTCCACTCTTGTACATGCGACTCAAGCTTCAAGAATACTTGGGGTCAGTCGGGCCTTCGTAAATAACGGAAACGGCTCTGTTGGAGGGTGGGAACATGTCCATTGTGTTCATGACCACATGAAACTTGAATCAGATTCGGATGGCAAGCACAATGGAGCGAATAGTTTCGCCCCCAATGCACGCACAGAAGGCAAAGGTGATCCGTGAAGCCTGGCTGACCTAAACTAACTTCATACATGCCATTATGTCGATTTTCCCCTGCCTGCTACTGCCGGGATGGTTTTTTCTCATTGCCACTGCAATGTCGGGGCCGTCGCTGCTGGACACGATCAAGGAAGACCAAACTAGTTGGACATACGATCACGACATTCTGCAAAACACATGGGATACGTCGGCAAACGAGTATCCATGCAAAAAAGCGCGATGTGACTCTTCTGGTGAGCTGAATTAATCATCGTATTCGTAGTGTCGCCGAGAGCTCTGATGTTGAATCATCATATGCTTGAAGGGTTTACTGCGCCATAACCTGATAATCCGCTGATTCTGATCTTTATATGTTGTCTCCGACCTGGCCTTATCATTTTGGAACTTAAGGCGCGCAAGCCTGGATGGATAGCGATGTGGGACATCCTGTGATTGACCACAGACTACTTGACGATTTTGAAACACAACTCTGGTTAGAGAGTAAGCTTGTAACAGATCATATATGAAAGGCGATCCCTAACCTTTCCCCAAATCAATCTTTCTGCTTGGATACTATCCAGATTTCGTCCCCTATCACCATGATCACGAGTCTACAATCCTCATTGATAACTTGTGGAACCTTCCCCCGCTTCCAGCCGTCTACGGCCGCCATCGAGCTGGACATGTCAAAGCGCTGGCGGATAATCAAAATGGTGTTACAGGTCTGTTTCTTATCCGGGTTAGAGAAAAAAGTGCTGGAATGCTGATTAGGATTTCTTATACCTGAAGAGCCTCCATTGAAGAAACAACGTACCTTGAAAACAAACAGACCATCGAATAATGATTTGACCCAGCCACTCCCTATGGCAGGGGCGCGTGCTCCTCTCGGGAGAGTTGAGGATAATAACGTCGGCTCAAATCTTGACATGAATCCGAATGAGTCAGCCATGCCCAGGAAAACTACACCCGAGCCATCGCTTCCTTCAAATCAATTTGAGCCGCAATTTCACCCAGACCGACCTAGGACGGATGTGCAACCGGACCCTGAAGCCGAAAGCTCTTCGACCAAGGATCAGGGGTCAATCGAACCGCTGCCGATTGTAATACAGGATACGAGCGGCAAGAAACAGCCAGTCTCGTCCAATCTCAACCATGACACGCCCGAAAACCCAGACCATTCACCTGAAGGCAGACAAGTGGTCCCGCCTATGAAAAATGATGATTTGGCACGTCAGAAGAGTAACATCCAGCAAATGGGGAACCACAAATTATCCAAGATTGAACATGGCCTCGAGGGTAACATACAACCTATACGATCAACATCAAGCAAGAGCATGAAGAAACGGCTAGTATCATCCAGCCGTGGTACTTCCAAAACGACAAATGGCCCAGATGGAATACAATCGAGTCCAGCTTTTCAAATAATCTCCAAGCAGCAAAAGAATAAAACTATTGCAACCGGGGATGAAGGACCGTCTCAGTTGGAGGCTGAACTTCATGACAAGTCAGATTCAACACAGCTGATACCTAATGAGAAAATGATTGAGGACACTCGGGTCCCATCCAACCATGAGACTTCTGGCAAAACCCAACCTTCTCCGCTTACGCAAAAGGTCAGCCCAGCGAGCCAAGTGAAGCGAATGGAACAAGCTGAGGATATAGAACCGGCCAAACTGAACCCCCCGAAGTGGATTCAACTCCGAATGACCAAAGAGACGAGTGAAAATGAGCAAGCTCGGGAACAAAAACTAGAGAAGCTGATAACCCCAACAAGGGATCAACTATCAAGATTGGCAGAGCCGCCTCCCAAGATGAGGAAAGAAATAGATCAGATAGCCGCCCACCTTTATGAAAATGAAGCTACCGAGGATGTTTCGAGTCTTATGGAAAAGAGATGTGAACTGTTTCAACGCAAAGTGGATTCCGAAAATCAAGCTTTGATGAGTCGAAAAGGGGAGATAGAGACAACAAATGATTCTTCAAACGAAAGTTCCAAGGCACTTTCCTCCAACCTATTGGTAGTTCATGATTCTGACAAGAAGACAAAGTCGCAGGCAGATATAACAATGTCTTTCAACTTTTTAATCAGAAGGAGCTATTACGTCCTGAAGGCCATCTCAAGAGACCTCAGGGAGTTGGGTGCCAACACTCTGGACCACAAAGAATATTTCGCTTGGCTCCTGGGCAAGACCCTGAGTTCAACAGCTGGTTACAAAATCTTGACAAAGCTAGGCTCGGAAACTGAAGGATTATCCGCTGTCAAGCAAAGAACGATTGATTATCTTTCCCTTCCAGTGAACAGCCAGAAAAGTCTAAAAGAGTCAATCCATTTCATTGGAATGTGGTTCAAAACCAACCACCCGGATATCTGGAAGGCTGTCGGAAACGGCGACAAGGCATATTGGACATACATGAAAAACCTGATCGAGAAATTTGAAGAGCATTACGAATATAGAAAGAAAATCTACGAGAATTATCTGACCAATCGAGCATTAATGAGTTCGCCCGGCGTCAAACAGCTTTCTCTAGATATTCCAGCCGAGGTAACTGACCTTCTGAGCGGCTCGCTATTAAATTGGAGGAACCAGTTACTCGCTTGCGAACAAGAAGCAATCAAAAAAATTCGGTCTGTGTACATATTCACGGGATCATTGGAACAGAAAATAAACGAGCAAATCGAGATTGAAAACTCTCCGATTTTCATTTCGAGAAAATTCAGCATCAAGCACAACGGGCACGTTTTCTTTGTCGGTGTTGTGCCACAATATGAAACAAAACAAAGCATTTCATCCGAAATGGTCGAAAAGATGCAACTGTTGCTCTTACCTTCTCACCGAGTTTTCAAAGCGATCAGATCCTCAGTGCAAGGACAAAAAACATTCCCGGATAAGTATTATCGCGACAGGTTCTTCAGGTGGATGTTTGGAACCATGACTGGATTTGAACGAGATACCCGCTTGCCCATTATAGGTGTTTATCCCAGAAACAATCTGGCTGCTTTCAATTTCTCAGATTATTCTGATGTTCAAAAGTTCGTGATCAAACAGCTGTGCCAACCACGAAGTACAGAACAGCTTTGGAATGCCGGCTTGCAACTCTTAGCATATTGGTTTAGAGAGATGACGCCCGGCGCATGGACGGTTCGATTTGAAGAAAAAGAAGACACTTTTTGGAACTATGTGTTTAAGTTACTGAAGGGATTGGAACAACAACCTACCTATTTTGCATCGCAATAATATTTCGTAATTATCTTGAGAAGAAATTGGCTACCCTCAACTTTGACATTCTCTTATTAACCAATTAGAATCCGCCGCTTAATTAACTGATTATTTGTTGTTATGTAGCGGTTAGTAGCTAAACTCTTGATGTTCTCTACGTTCGTCGTTTTTTTTTTTTTCAAATAGATGATTCCCTCAAGTCTTGGGAATTGGTTTCTTCAGAAGTATTAATAAATTCAGAACGTTATCCACTAAGAGATGAGGCCAAAATCAAACCTTGTGAAGAGTGCAGAAGTCCAATGCCAGACCAGCTGGTACTAGATTGGTAGGCCTCGAGTTGAGTCTAACTTGACTAAGCCCGTCTGTCTTTGGAAGGGGCATGCTGCCGGCGTCACTACGCAAACCAGGGATGAGCTTGGTTATTCAGTTATGAAGGAGTGGGCCAGGCTCCATTCCAGCTGAAGAACATTGAGAGCACAGCACTTCAGATGCTATCCGGTCTGATGAGATCCGGTAAACCTTGCAGGACAATATTCGCCCAGCTGGACTCCGCACTTCTGTTGTGATGGGTGACATCATCGTCTTTACTCTCCGCCCAACCTTGACAATACAACTCAGCAGTTCTTCCCATCATGCCCTCAAACCATTCTGAGCATCCTCACAAGTTCCTTAAAAACCCACGCGTGGCAGCTGTCATCCCTTGCCCCTTCGTCAGTATCTGATCCACTTTGGAATCAGGCTCGTGCTTTTGTCTGATCAAAGAATTCTGACTTTATAACTGTATCGTTTTTGTTTTATCTTTCGGCTCTGGTGTGAATCCCCTCTGCTCTCATAGAGTGGTGGACAGGTTGAGTTTCTTCTCAATATCGTACAAGTCTTCTTCCCTGGCCTTTTATTCTTGTCATTCGGTTTTCACAGCGTCGAGCCATGGCAGTCTCCAAATGAGTGTCTCTGTTGATCTGACCATCGATTCGATTGTCGTGTTTATGTATGTGTAGCCACGAGCTGGGGTAGACCATGGACCGAGCCATCTGATCCAAGATGGGCTGATCAAAAGCATCGAATCCGTGGGATACTCAACCGCCCTCGACGAACTTAATCTGTCAACGGTTCTGAAACAAGACGACCCGGATATTGGGATCCTCAAAAACCCTCGGCTGGTCGCAGAGACAAACAAAAGTTTGATGAATACCATTAACTCTCACACCGAGAAGGGCGAATTTATCGTTACCATCGGTGGGGACCATTCTTTGGCTATTGGTACTCTGAGCGGAACTTTAAACGCCGTTAGTACTTTTCTTGTTCTTTTTCTTCTTCAAATGTTGCACAAAAGAATTATTACTACACCTTACCGAGAGCTCCAATGATCGATGGTTTTTTCCACCAACCAAAAAATAAATCAATGTAGTTCCCGGAGGCCTGCGTGATATGGGTTGATGCGCATGCAGTCAGTCAACCCAATCGGAGTTTTGTTTTAATTTGTTTGCAGTCAATTGATGAGTTCGAATGGTCTTCAGGATATAAACACACCCGATACGACCGAGACAGGGAATCTACACGGATGCCCGGTTTCGTTTTTATTGTCGACATTGCATGCGGGAAAAGATCTTGAGCCATTCGAATGGATCCAACCGTGCTTGAAACCAGATCGATTGGTTTATATCGGCCTGAGGGATATCGATATGGGTGAACGCAAAATCTTAAAAGAGCATAACATTCGCTGTTTTACGATGCACGATGTTGATAAACATGGGATCGGGAAAGTCGTTGAAATGGTAAGCCAGAATTCTGACCAGCCTGTGTTCTGGTTACCGTCCAAGCGTCTATCTTTTAAGCAAAATTACAAAGACATGTTGACGGGTAAACCTATCTTGATCTGGGAATAAAAATGAAGGCTTTGGAGAGCGTGAACAAAGATTTAACGCGGCCGATTCATCTATCGTTTGACGTTGACGCCTTGGATCCCAGTGTTGCCCCATCGACTGGGACGCCTGTTCGGGGAGGCTTAACCTTCCGCGAAGGACATTACATCTGTGAAGCGATCTACGAAACCGGATGTCTGGTCGCGTTGGACCTCATGGAAGTCAATCCGACTCTAATGACCACCGAAGCTGATGTGATTCAAACCCTAAGCGTAGGCCAAAGCTTGATCCGATCTGCTATGGGCGAATCATTGATCTAAAAAAAAATTAAATGGTCGCTATGCTTGGTCGAATGATTGAGTCTGCTCTATTCTTAAAAAGCCGTCATCCTTTCGGTGATGAGTGTTAAAAAAGTATTTATTTCTCTCCGAGGTCAACCCAGTGCAGTTTTCTGCTGAAGCTTAAGAACCTCTTTGGATTCTCTGCTTAATATATTTTACTAATATTTTGACATTTGATCACCTGTCACTCAATTACTAGAGAAGATTATCATATGGTTATTCACTTAGATAATGATTGTCTTCAATACCTAGCCAGATTTTATTTACATGTCTGTAAATTTCTTTTCTCTTTGTTGAAGATCATCATGGAGCAACTTGATGCATTGATTTTGTAGAAATAGATGACTGTAACTTATCATCATGAACCGTTTGATCAAATCTAACCATTTTAATGATCTGAATTCTACGTGGCCTGCAAGATGGTCTGAGCCCTGATGCCTACTTGATTGGGAGAGAGTCGAAGTATAGGTTGTTTTCCATTTTCTTTGAGATCATACGGGCATCTTAATTTCTCAATTTTCTCTTCCAAGAATGGCGGCGGCTATGTATTACGATGACTGCGATTGGCAGATTAGCAATGTATTGGCTGATCACTTGAACAGTCCATAAGTACCTGCTTTACTCTTGGGCAGAGCGCTAGGAATGCTGCCAGGCGATGCGACCACGTTGGACTCGGCCATGATAAAGAGTTCCTAGGGTTGGGGATAATTGATTCCGCGGAACTCTTCGGCTAAAGCTTGAGGTAGAAACACTATCCGGACGAACGCCATGCATACCTTTTGTGTGGTCGAAGCGAGGCTTCTTGTAACAAACGTGGGCTGGGGTCCGTGTCGCTTGCGGATGGGTATCATCATGTTGAGCCATGTCAAGGTATTATTAGTGGCTCTGATCTGTCGAACAGCCTCGCACGAAGATCGACCGCCTTGCTTTTCCGAGGGGCAATGGCCAACTGGCATTGATCATGTTGTCCCGTCGTCCATTTCGCTATCAGATATCCATGAGAAGCACCAGGACATCAATATTTGATCAGCTGATTTCGGGGCCCCATATTATGTATCGTCCAGCTGAGTTATCACTTGAGATATCTCCTTGGGAATGCAGTTGGCCTCACATTGGTCATTTGGCGCCCTAGGTTGAGCTGAGAGCGACCTCACATGATGGCATGCCAAGATGAGGAAGCAAATCACCATCTGCAAAACATGAGCAGGTCCGAGCTCGGCGCCAACCATCCGTCCTCCGATCACCCACTCACTCATCCACTCGATTCATTCATATGCATTCCTCCAGCTTGACAGTGCACTTGAGCCTTTGACTTTTCCTACTAGTAGTGTATGTTGTACCACCCAACAGCCACCGCACCCAACTGCCTGTACGAGTGACTGTCCAGATTGGGCTTTGCAGATCGAATTCGAGCCAAAAGTGGGGCACGTTCAATTGTCAGTGAGCATGTGCGCCGTGCGGAGTTGAATACAAACTTCCGGAGTAATTTCCCTCTGATTTATCATAATTATATTTGGGCGTCGTGAGATCTTGAACCGAGAGTCATTTCATTTTGCAGCCCTAACAAATCTGCCGTTGCGGTCCATATCTCCATTCTCAGCTTGCCATCACGAACATTTGCAACCCATTTTACTACCTTGATTATATTCTCCATCCAGTTCTTCGTCGATCAAATCTTGTGCTGGCCTCAACTCCGACATACTCCGCCCTTCCGCAAAAAAAAAGTTAACGATATTACAAACATTTTGTAAATGGATCAAGAAGCAGCCTCAAGTCATCCCGCCGAGGCCAGTCCACCTGAGAGCCCGGAGCAGCCTCACGCGGGCTATCGAAGCGTGATTGCCTCATCGATCAATCTGGTTCAAAGCTATCGTAGGAGTCAGTTATTCATTGGCGACAATCTGCCGAACAGTTTCAGCGAATCGAGCTTCAACGCCAACTACCTCTCTTCAAGACAGCATCGCGGTGTTCATGATGGGGCTGAAAGTGACAATGATGATGACGGTCGTTCGTATGCGACTTCCTTCAGTGATCGCGATGGCGAGATAGAACGGGCTGAAGGCGACGAGGAGTATTCAGATGATGAGGATACCGATAGAGATCTCCCGAGCTCGTTTCTACCTCCAAATGCTTTTGGCAGTCGTCGATTGCCTGCTTCGCGTTGTTCACGAGCCTCACAGGCGAGTTTTCCGAGGCAGTGGACCCGACAGACCTCCGGCTCTGCAAGATCACGCCTACCCAACCAAGAAGGGGATCTCCCTGGTGGCCCACACTCGCCCAGATCGACTCAGTTCAACAGGACTCTTGAGAGGACCCCCACCGCCGAAAGCTCTCAGCTAATCACTCCACAGCTCTCCTTCCCTCGTTACGGCAGCCTGAACGGAGAGTCATCCGGACGGCGCTTCTCGACCGCCCGCTCTTCTTTCAGACATCGAGAGAGACCCGACTCGGAGGCAGGCTCGGCTGCCGAATCTCAAGACCCCCGCCAACCAACTCCGTCTCACTGTTCGAGCACCTCCCGGGCCGACTTTCGGCACCCTCCCGCCCTCGGCACTAGTACTTTCGGACAAACCCTGTTCAATGCCTTTAACATCCTCTGTGGCGTAGGCCTTCTCTCCGAACCTTTGGCCTTCTCCGCCATGGGATGGGTGGGCGGCGTCCTCTTGTTCATCTTCTGTGGCCTTTCCACTAACTACACGTAAGTCAAGATTCATTGTTCATTATTCTAAAAACATCCCATTCGGAAAATCAATTCAGTCTTATACTCACAAGGTTGGGTTTTCATAGAGCCAAAATTCTCGCACGTCTCATGGCCGAAGACCGATTCTTGCTAACATACAACGACATCTGCTATAAAGGTTTGTCAAGGACTATCTATTTCCTTGCTTTGTTTTTGTGATACCACCTTCAACCTAACATGGGACGTGATGACTGCAAACTTGCTGGATTTTTTCATTTGTCCTTTACAAAGCATTTGGTCGCTCGATGCAATATCCCATCGCAGGTCTTTTTTGTCTTGAGCTGTTTGCTCTTTCAGTAGCCCTGATGGTGATCTTCGGCGACTCGCTGGCAACGATTTTCCCGGACATCTCTGCGGACTCATTCAAGATCCTAGCCTTCTGCCTCGTCCTGCCGACAGTCTTTATGCCTCTCCCGCTTCTGAGTTACACCAGTCTGATCGGCCTCGTCAGCAGTCTCACCCTCGTCGGTGTCGTGGTCTTCGATGGCCTCGTCAAGGAAGAGGCGCCTGGTAGTATTTTCCATCCGGCAAAAACCAGTCTCAGTCCGAGTCATCGATGGGGTTTAAGTGCTGGTTTAATGATGAGTGGCGTAAGTGTTCCAACTCCCTTCTCCAACACACATACCCCGTTGAAGAAAGTACGTTTTTCCGCATTCAATCCTGTCTAGTTTTCCGGACATTCGGTCATGCCAAGTCTAGCCAGAGAGATGCGAAACCCTCAGGACTTCAATCGGATGGTAGATTATGCTTATGTTGCCGCTGGCTCGATGTACTTGATTGTCGGTTTGATCGGCTACTTGATGTTCGTTTGTTTCCCAGGTCCCCCTTTCTCCAAATGATCCCAGAAGTAAAGCATCTCGTTGCCAACTCAAGTGTCATCTTTCTTGGAAAAAACAGGTTTGGCGACGATGTTAGCCAAGAAATCACGCAAGATCTCCTCCGCACACCCGGCTTCCCTACCGCCATCAACCACTTTGGCATCTGGATGGTTGGCATAAACCCTGTGGCCAAGTTTGCTCTTTGCACCCGGTGAGTTATGATTTTCCTCTCATAAAGATCCAAGAACCAATTGGCTAAGAATTGGCCGGTTACACTTCATTTAGTCCCTTGAATGTTACGATTGAGCATTTGCTTAACTTGACCTCGATGGATGACATGTCTGATCCACATGCCCCAGCGATCCAAAAACGCTCCACGCCCGTGCCTACTAGCCAAGCCCTGCCCAAGAATGCGGTCTCCAGCCACCCTAATCAGCTCACCCCTCGATCAACTCATTCTGATCTCCGCGGTTCCTACCATGAAGCTGCCTCCGGATCTGCTGGCAAGAACAAGCCGGCGATGTTTACTAAGGCTTTGGGTAGGACGATCTCCCGAACTGTTGTGACTTCCTTGGTCGTGATTGTGTCAATATTGTTGCCTAACTTCGAGCGAGTGATGGGATTTTTAGGGGTTGAGTCTTTTTTTCTTCTTCTTCTTCCTTTTTGTTTCCTTAATGTCGGAAAAGAAGCGCAAACCTCTCATTAACCAACTTCTTTCTTTTTACGCGCATCGATATGAATCATAATAGGCCTTTGCAGCCTTCGTAATTTGTACCATTCTGCCCGTCTCGGCTGAGATGATAATGACCAGGGGCCAAGGAAGAAGCCCGACCACGAAGATAATCAACATTGTCCTACTGGTCGTTTCCGTCGTGATGGCGGCCATCGGGACAACCTACTCATTTCTGCCGGCCTGAGAATTTTTTTTTTTTCAATATTTACATTACTTGTCAGTCAGACTACCTTAAACGGGTGTTGGTTAATTTGTATTGTTAGTCATCCTCCTTTTACTTAAGTTCATTTCTCTCATCAATTTTTTGTGTGCCTGCTTGCTTGCGTTGCTTGTCTATGAGCTGCAAAGGCATTGGCCACATGTAAATCAAGTGATCATTGTTTTTTTTTGAAGCCACTAATAGAGTGATCAGTATGAAATGAATTGGTTTTATCATCAGTCGGCCTATGTTAATACCATGATAGACCAGAACACAAGAAGAAGACTTTTCAAAAGTGTATGTGAAGCAAGCGCCAAAATCTGGGCCACTCAACCTTCTTATATGCAACGGCGACAATGCAAATAGATAGCATTTGATTCTGCGAGATCAAACTAGCTGGGCGTCTTGCAAGGTGAGCTTCCAAAAGACAAACTTTGCGCAAATTGTAACACGCCATTTAAGCAACACCTCCCACAGGAACATCCTCACAGATCTTATTGCACAAGAAGAAAGTGATCATCCTTACAACTCTTGTTTATATTTGTTGGATGAGATGTCATGTGCACATGACAGAGAGCATTCCACATCACTACTTTTCTTGTAAGATCAATATGTCTATTCCTTCACACATTCATCTTCCCTCAGCTTGGAATAGATTAACAAAGCAAAAAGATTCAACAGACCTATTCACTCATCCTAGCAAATATCTATCCATCGTAGCGTCTGGGGCAGGAGTATAGGTCCTTTGAACATTAAATCAGTGTCTTAATCTTTCTTGATTTTGATGTTCTTGTTATCTATTTTTTTCACTTGAGTGTTAGTTTCTTCTGAATGTGCCTAAAGTATCATTGGTAGTATCCATGTGTGGATCATGAAGAATTGCTTACAATGCAGATTAGAAGTCTCACATGGATGTGTTAGCAATGTGTAACAAGTTTGACACCTTGTTGGTTCTCACAAAAGGTTTGCTCCTTATTTCTGCTCACTCACGTCAGTGGTCATAGTCCAACACCTCGCTGGTTCTCACAAAAGAACTTGCACCTTTCTCATCTTTTACCTTGAGACACTTGCTCACACAGAGTAACTTCTGACACCCCATGAATCTGGTGAAGAAAGAGATCAGCCCCATATACTCATGTGACCACCAGATGAATCAAGAGCCTCCAGTCCGGGTAGCACAACTTGCCAACTCTTTAAAGAAGGCTCACCTTGTATGGCTTTCTTTTCAGGGGATGGTATTGCTGGAGGTAATCAGATGCACATTAAAAATGTTTCATGGAAGCCCACTGTTGCAGCACACTACATCAGAATGGAAACAGATATCCTTCAGTCAAGCAATTGATCTCAGATTCAATGGGCACCATGATGGCAAGCAAGATAATGAAACAGACCACCCAAGCTGGTTTGATGGGATCTTCCAGCTCAGAAAACTTAGTGGTTCTCACCTCAAATACCAGTCATTCCTCTGGTGGTGGCATGGTCCCTCTCAACAAACACCCCTCAATTTATTCCACATTCTCACTTTCTTCTATGAGACATGCAACAATTTTGAGTGCCAAGCAAACAGAGGTGAACCCTCAGGCTAGATGTAACCAGGAAATTTCTTTATAGGTTTTTAATAATAATTAATATTTTCTCAGATTAGGCTAGCTGAGGAGTGTTGTCTTCTCGATGTTTGTTTTCAAACTTATTGAATACATAGTAATGGAAATGTGAAGCTGGGTGACGAATGGATGAATGTAAAAACTATGACATAGAATTGGTTAACTTTGTGCTGGGTGTCTGGTGGACAAGAACACATGTGTGATGATGAGAAAAAAATTGGGAAACAATTGATCACTTGTGAGGGAAGGCAGTGCAAGAATTGGGTATGATATGCAACAGGCCTGAGTATTACTAATTAGCAACCATTAAAATTGAGTTACTTATTTTTCTATTATTGCAATTTTGATAATGGTAATTTTTCTGGTGCCAAGCAGGTGCACAATTTCAAAGAAAATCAAAGGGAAAAAAAATTCCGGGGTGGGGGGGTGCTGTATTTAGCTCACACACATGTATCCCCATTTTTCCTCATAGGTAATCATTTTTAAGGGGATAGTATCCTTGGTTTAAGTTCTCCATGTTCTGGGCATGATGCACAACCAATGTCAGATTGACAATAGTCACAGTGATATTGGTCTATGTAAAGTTCATAGGCACAATTTGTATTGTCTTGGTTGGTGTCAACAACTTGGAATGTGTGACACCGGTTTGTTCCTCTTGCACCTTTAAATTTCATGATGTTTCTAGTAGAGGAAGTACTCCCCATCCTACGGGATTGTTGAGCACACAAATCACATTCCTTTAAACAGTTGTACTTGGGTACATTGTACAACAGGCAAATGATGAGGGCAAAGGTGAGGCCCCCACAAGCAACTGCAGTTATGCTTTGCATGGATGGTTTCAGGTGTGAAGAATGAAGTTGTAGTGGATGAATATGGGGATTGAACTCCAGACCTATGAGATGTGGGGGACCAAACACAATGGGCTCTTGAAGCGGGGTGATATATCCACTATGACAGCAAGGTGTGGCTTCCACTTGATGTTTTGTGCTTATAAAGATGGGGTTCAGGGGGCAGTAAATTTGCCAGGAAAAATAGGAGAGAAAATCACATCCAATAAAACTGCCTTATCACTGTCAGCATAACTGGCTGGGTTGAATTTATCCTAGTGATTGTGAAACTGGGATGCACTCACTCTCTTTGTCTGAGAGTTGGGATGTCAGGACCGCCTGCGCTGGTGCTTCCAAGTCTAATGCTTTGTTGACTACAAGCATGGGTCCTGAATCATCTGAAGACAAGAGTAGATTACAATTAGAGATGGGCCCGGCGCATCCGGATATCCGTTTGGATTTGGATATCCCCTCACGTTTTCAGCCAAATCAGACATCCGCATCCGCATCCGCATCCCCTGGCGGATACCCGCTGGCCCTGGCGGGTATCCGCGCGGATACCCGCGGATATCCGCCCCAAAAATGACCCCCAGGCTGCAAAATGAAAGTTTCTTGGGGAAATTTAAGATGCAGAAAGCTGCATAAACACTGATTTTGAATTTCTTGCGGCCTTCAAGCCTTCAATTTATTTTTTTCCTTTGCTGCTTGCAGCCTGTGACCCTCCAAAAAATATGGAAAATGGAAAAAGTTATATTTCTTTTTGCTTTTGAATTTTTTTTTTGTTGAGCAGTTGGCAAAGTGGTTTTAAGTTTTTGTTTTTTATTTATTTATTTATTTATTTATTTATTTATTTATTTTTTATTTTTTAATTTTTTTTTCCTTTTGTTGCTCACAGCCTGTGACCCTCCCAAAAATATGGAAAAAATCTAATTCCTTTTTCCTTTGCATTTTTTTATGTTTCTTGCAGCTAACTAATGTAAATTTTTACAGGATTAAATTTCATTATTTTTTGAAAATGGATGGTTATATCAACTTTGCATACAAATAAAACTGGTATACAGTACAAATTATCATAATTTGTATAATTTAATTATGAAATAAATGGGGTACACTCATATATTAAGATTGAAGCTTTCATTTCTTGTCAAAATAAATGATACCATAAGCTTTGACTCTACTCAAAGTGTAGTAAATATATTCAAAATTTCAAAAAATGATGGAAATTAAGCTAGCAAAATTAATTAAAATAAATTAAGGGAAAAAATTTACAATGTCAAAAAATAATGAAAATTAATTGAAAAAATGTGTCTAATTGCATTATTCAAAAAGAACCATTAATTTTTATGTAAAATGCTTTTTACCATTAAATTATACGCACTTTAAAACATAAGAAATAAATTTAAAATTTCAAAAAATAATAAAAAACAAGCAGTAAAAAATTAATCAAAAAATGTGTCTGCTGCGCAGTGCGCGCAGCAAAAACCATGTTTTTTTGTTAAGGCCCCATTTTTTCTTTTATTTTTCCTTTTTTCCATTTTTTCTTTTGTTTCTCACAGCCTGTGGCCCTCCCAAGGCCTCCTGTATGGGCGGATATCCCTTGGGATACCCGGATATCCGCCAGGATTCCAGGGGGAAGGGGGCATCCGCACCCGAATCCGCACCCGCTGGCGGGTATCCGTTGGCACTGGCGGGTATCCGCCAGCGGATAACGGATATCCGCAACGGATTATCCGCGACCATCTCTAATTACAATAGGTCGTTGCCATTTCAGGGATTGTTGCGGTCGTTGCCATTTCAGGGGGTTGATCGGATCTTGTACCTTTGGTGAGCTGGCCTTGAATTGCATTGTCTTCTCGGCCATTCTCCTTTGACACGTCTTGTCTCGGTTCATCACTTTCTGGATCTATAGTGCCTCTCTCGCCAACTCGGGAGAGGTCTATGACTTCATTGGAGTGTTCTATGACGTGCATAAGAATGAAATGGTGCTGTAAGTCAACCACAACTTGGTTATAACTACAATTGCAGAATCAAGAGACACTAACTACTCAAGTGCTTGTCAGCCGCTGTGATTCCAAGGAGTATCCCTTCTAGCTACACGTGGTGCAAAGACTTAAGATGTTAGAGTGTGAACTCTGGGACTAAAGAGTCCGGTGTGTAATTCCAACAATGAGTGGTAATTACAAGGTTATGAGATAGTAGAAATGAATAATTATATCAATAAATATTGATATAATTTAAACAGAGGGGCCTGATAAATCAGGGGTGGTTTAGTTCCCTCTAAGGTATCGTGCAAAAGCAGAGGATTTAGGTACCTGTTAACACTGGGGCCTGTTTAACAGGGGTGGTTTAAATCCCAGAAGAAAGTAGTAAGAATCTCAAGAAAGAAGGGGGCATTATGTACTAATAAAGCCCCTTAAGTCTTGAGTTTCTAATATAGACAGAGAATTAAAGCAAGAGACAATACATTACCAGACAGATACAAATGTTAAGCATTTGGGACGGTGGGTAATCTAAAGTGGGTTGTAATAATCTGATGAATCCACATTTGGGGGGA